GATGACCCTTTGATTCATTGAGCAATGTATTGTTTCAGTTTCGCAGCTGTTTTGCATGTTTATTGCTATTATTTTTTTTGGTTGTGAGTTCTATTTTAATGCATTGTGATCAGATAGAATGCATGGTATTATTTCTGTTTTCCTTGTATTGCTGAGGCTTGCTTTGTGCTGTAGGATATGAATCAATTTTAGAGAACAGGTTCCACATGATCTGCTGAAGAAAAATGTATATTGTACAGAAGTTGGAATGAAATGTCTGTAGACATTGGCTAGTCCCATTTGCTCTATGGTATGATTAGAGCTAGGATTTCTTTATTTGCTTTTTTTGGTTTGGAATGACCTTATCTATGGGTGATGGGGGTATTAAGTTCTCCACTACCACTGTGGTTGGAGTTTTATATATGTTTTTAGGGTCCTTCAGAGTATGTTTGATGAAGTTGGGTGTGTTGATGTTGGGTGTATATAGGTTGATAATTGTTATTTTCTTTTGGTGTATTTCCTCTTTTGTTAGTATGGAATGTCCTTCTTTATCTCATTTGATCAATGTAGGTTTGAAGTCTATTTTGTCTGAGATAAGTAATACTACTTCTGACTGTTTTTGGGGACCATTGGCTTGGTAAATCTTCTTCTAGCCTTTCACCCTAAGCCTATGCTTATTTCTATTGACAGATGGTTCTCCTGTAAGCAACAAATTGTTGAATCTTCCTTTTTAATCCAGTTTGTCAAATGGTGTCTTTTGATGGGGGAATTAAGTCCATTAACATTGAGTGTTAGTATTGATGGTATGTAGTGATTCCTGTCATTTAGTTGTCTTTGTTGTTTAAGGGTTTGATTGTGTGCAGCTGAATCAATGTTACTCTCTGATTCCTTGTCTTTTCTTCTCCTTTGGTTTGGTACTGCCTGCCTTTTAATGATTATGTTGGCTTTCACTTTCTGTGTGCAGAATCCCTTAAAGAACCTTTTGTAGTGGTGGCTTTGTGGTCATATATTGTAGTTTCTGCTTATCATGGCAGACTTTTATTGTTTCATCTATTTTGAATGATAGTTTTGCTGGGTAGAATATCCTAAGGTTGAAGTCATTTTCATTCAGTGCCCAGAAGATCTCACCCCATGCTTTTCTTGCTTTTAATGTTTCTGTTGAGAAATCTGCTGTGATTTTGATGGGTTTACCTTTGTATGTTATTTGTTTTTTCTCCCTTATAGCCTTCAATATTCTTTCTCTATTCTCTGTGCTTGTTGTTTTAATGACAATATGTCGTGGGGTAGTTCTATTTTGGTACAGTCTGTTGTCCTGGAGGCATCCTGTACCTGAATGGGCATAGTTTTCTCTAGATTTTGTAAATTTTCTGTTATTATTTTGTTGAATACATTATGAATTCCTTTTGTTTGCACCTCTTCTCCTTCATCAATGCCCATGATTCTAGGTTTAGTCTTTTGATGGAGTCATTGAATTCTTGCATATTTTTTCACAGGTCTTGAGTGTCTAGCTAGGAGTTCTTCAGTTTTTCCTTTTATTACCATTTCATCTTTGAGTTCTGAGATTCTGTCTTCTTCTTGTTCTAGTCTGCTGGAGTTGCATTTCTGTTTCATTCTTTTTTCTGAGGTTTTCCATATCACGAGTCACTTCCTATTTAATATTGTCAATTTTCGCCCTGAGTTAATTTATCTCTCTATTCATGGTATTCTTTGTTTCAGTTTGGTGTTTATACAGTGCTTCAATAGTTTCTGTTATTTGTTTTTGTGCTTCCTCACATTCTCTATTTTTGTTGTCCAGGAATTTCTTGAGCATCTCCTGTACATTTTGGTTGACCATATCCAGTATCATCTCTATAAAATTCTCATTGATTACTTGCAGGATTTCTTCTTTCAGAGTTTTCTTGTGGGCTTCATTGGGTTCTTTGGCATAGCTTATCTTCATTTTGTTGGAGTCTGGATCTGAGTGTCTGTTTTCTTCATTTTCCTCTGGTTCCTGTACTAATCCTTTTTCCTTCTTCCCAGCATTCCACTTGGAGCCGTTACTGTCCTTGTACTGTGTGTAATTTAGTATTATCTAGCTTGTAATAGTAAGAATAATGATATCTAAATGGAAGGGTAAAAGGAGAAAGAGAGCAAGTAAGGAAAGGAAAAAGAAAAATAAACACCACTGCCACCACCAACAAAAACAAAACAAAACAAAAAAGCCAAAGAAATAAACAGGGAGAGATGGTGTACTAATTGACAGTGAACTAAACAAGCATTAGAGAGACAGAGCAAAAAGAAAAAAGAAGAAAATAAAGAAAAAAAAAAGAAAAAAATCCCAGGTTCAGTCTTAATAGTTCTGGTATTAGTCCTTCAGTATCCAGTCCTGGTGTTGATGTTTGAGTAGTAGCTCTGATGTTGTCTCACCAAAGGAGAAAGGAGAAAAGAGAAAAAAAAATAAAAAGAAAATAAAATAATTTGAGAAAGAAAAAAATAGAAAAGATATATAAAACTGTAAAAGAATAAAAATTTCAGGTCCAGAGACCATGCCGTTTCAGTCTTATAGTTCTGCTGTTGTTCCTTCAGCATCCAGTCCTGGTGTTAGTATTTAATCAGTAGCATTGTGGTTTTCTTGCCAGGTGTTTGGGTCAGGAGACAGCTTTGTGAACCTCTATTGGCTCACCTGCCACCTACTGCCAGCCGGCTGCCGCTGCAGGCTTTATTTATTGCAGTTTGCTGGGGGGAAGGCATCACACCCACCTCCTCCAACAGGCTTTGCTTATTTAGGGTTCTCTTGAGCACCTGCCCCTCCCCTTTTCTCCAGTGTGGAGTCCTAACAGCCTGCTACAGCTGCAGTCCTTGTTTATTTAGAGTTTGTGTGGGGGAATTTCCCTTCCCCCACTCTCTGGTGGAGTGTGTCATATGTCAGCCACTGTTGCAAACCTTGCCCACCCCAAGCTCACTGGCGGGGGGGTCGCCAAACCCACTTTCTCCAGCAGGCTTGTTTATTTACAGTTTGTACAGATGCCTGCCCCTCCTTCTCCAGAGCTCAGGGCACCCTGCCCTGTTTGCTACCTGTCTTTTTCAATTCTTTGTTTGTTATTCAGTTTTTTTCTTTTTCTTTTTTTACTTTGTGGGGCTGAGGTCAGTCTGACCAGGGGGCTATGCTGGTTTATGCTAGGGGTGGCTGTGGGGATACCATGTGCCACTTATTTGCTCACCTGTTGGTCTGTGTCTCCCAAGCAGGTTAGGAGGTGGCATCTGGTGGCATGGGAGCCCTCCTGGTTTCTCCATATAATGTGGTATGGGGAAGCTTTGTGCAGGCTGGGGGTTCGGGAGTGTTGGAATTTTGCCTCTTCTTGGTGGTTTTTTCTGCCAGGTGTGTCTCCAATGTCTCAGCAAGATTTTTCCTTTATGGAGCTCACATTATCTACTTTCTCCCTCTAGTCACCATCTTGGAACCTCCCTTGGATGTAGATTTTATAGTAAACCAAAGGATTAAAATTCTTTAAAGATGGTAACTCTTGCCCCTTGGAGTCCAAACACAGCATGCTATTTGACTGAGTAACATTCTTCTACTTAGGTTTTAGAAAATATTTCTATAAGCTTCATGAAGCCAAATTAAGTTCTGTCCCTGTTATCAACAGTACATTCATCTCAATCTCTGTACAGGACACACATCTTCTTATACTAAATCCCTCAATAACCTGAGCACACTGGCAAATACCACCTTACTGGCAGCTGTAATTAAGTTCAAAGGGATATTTTTGTATTAGGACTTTTGAAAGAAAAGACATACTCAAGAGATTAATAGAATAAAATTATACCCTTGTCATAAGAAGTAGGCTAAATGGACTGCATTGAACATTTACATTAGCACTTGGGAAAAATAATCTTTGTCTTTCTTTTTCATGTGTTGATGCTTTTGTGCATTAAGAAACTTCCTTCTTCATTTTCATTTCCTCATGAGAAAACTGCAGGCATGCATTAAACATAGATCTCTATTTTATGGACATATTCCAGAAAGAGAAATACTATTTTTACTTTCAGAGTACTTTTTTTGCTGTCAAAAACAGCTCAAATAGGTAAGCAAAGTGAAGAATGAATTATGAAAAGTGCTGGAATAGATTTTTTGAAGTCCTGAAAACAAATTGACAATAAAATAATTATATCAGTAGGCATAAATGTCATGTCCTAGTAAGCAAAAATTACTCTTAGTGGAGCATATACTTTGAGTTGTTAGTCGATGATATTGAGGGGTCTGTAATGACACAGCCACTCTGTGCCATTTTAGCAGATAGTAAGTATGAACTGGGTGAAGTGGGCTTGGGGGTGGAGTATGTGAAGCTCCTAGCTGAATAACACTTCTTACAGTGATAGTCTAACCTCAGGTAATTTTATAATCATCTAAGTGTATGCTAATTTTATTATAATATTATTTCTCCAAAGGATAGTCTCTTTCAGTGTTTGGAATTGTGGCTCATTGAGAGCTACAAATGAGTTTGAACATTTATTGACCTAACTAAAACCAAATATTCTCTATCTTTCTTATTATGGACCATAAAACATTGACTGAACCCCTCCCTTATTCTTGTAAGGGCATCTCTAATTAATCAATGTGTAATGTTCAACTGTATAAAGAACTTAATCTGCTTTCAGGTACTTCTCAGCCCACTTTCAGATAAATGGGCCATTTGGCTCATTTTGGGTAATAAGCTTTGGATTGAAGGGATATTTGTTATTTAGTACCAGGGAATAGTACCTGAATCCTGAACCATCTTCTCCTGGTAGGGGAAGATACATGATCCAGGTGGTATAGTCAGAGTTTGCTGCAATTTCTTTTCAGCCTGGGTCCTACCGTACCAACTTGTCCCACCCTTTTATTTTTAGGTCTTATGATCTATCCTGGTTAATGCAAGTACACATTACAGTAACAGTAAAAATAAATGCTGTTAAACATTAACTAATATATATTAGTTATTAGTTATATTAATTGTTATGTATTTTTGATTACTTCAGAAATTTTTATCGTTAATCCACAGGGAACAATGTTCACGGGCATGGAGTCACAAAGAGACATGGACCTGAAGGAAACTGTCACTTGCTTCAGTGGACTAGAGCATGCGATGGTCGGGAAATCATAGAGAGGCACTCACTCATGGTTTACTAGGTTGAACTGTATTTGTAATGAAATCAAGAGAATGCATATCACTCAAACTCAAGGAGAAACTAAATAAGAATTTCAAAATATTAAAACTCATCGGTCATGGTCGTGGTCATGAGTGCTTTGTAACCAGCTTTCTCCTGACCCTGAGAACACTGGCTAATGACTCTGGAGGAGGTAAGTTCACAGTGTTCACACAACCATTTCTTTTAGATCAATGTTTCTCTATCTTAGCTAGACATTAGAAATCCCTGGATGTATGTAAACCATCCAGGATGTCCAAGTAACACCAGGGGTTAACTAAATCAGTATCTCTGGGAGAGGACCCACCCATCTTTGCCTTGTAAAGACTCTAAGGTACACAAGGTGCAGCCAAAGCTGAGAACCACCTCTGGCAAGGGGAAGCTGGCTATTACCTAACACATGCTTCCTTATCTCTGGTCTGCTTTACAAATTATAAAGTCAGTATTTTATTTCCACCTTAGTAATAACTTTCTACTGATAGAAAATGTAATATGTTGCCATTTCTAATGGCTAGGCTTCCTTGTATGATTAAATTTTCTTTTTTATTATGAATATTTTTTGAAGCAAAGAATAGTAATACCTCTAGGGAAATCTTAGAAATTCCAGTTCTCCTTAATATTTCAGGGGCTAGATTAGTGTTTCCTCAGGATTTGATCCATTAATTTACTTCCTCAAGGCCTTGGCTAGACAAGAAAAGTGCCATGTGGGAGCTGACATTCAGATAAAATCACTACATGTGTTTGTTTGAGGGTAATTATTGAAGTAAACACAGTTGACATTATTCCAATGTGCCAGGTGCAGGATATATGTATGTACAAATGTGTGTGTCTTGGGAACAACAGTGTGTCCTTGATGTATTAAAAAGTTGGTAAAGAAAAATACTTGATATTTACATGCTGGAAAAAAATTTGTCTGAATTTGTGGGCACAAGGGAATTCATCTGTTGCCCTTAAAGAGAAACTAACTTCCTCTTCATATTTGGAAAGCCATGAATGAGATGAATCTGCACAGAGGTATTTATATAAGTAGGTATCCTTGAGCATTAATTTCCACACTGACCATGCTAATAAATGTCTCAAGTAATCAGTCATGGACTACTAATGTGGGCGTCATGTGTTCTGATTTCTAAACATCTCAATGCAAAGCATAGCCTCAGAGATTAAGTCACGAGCTTTGCAATCAGATGGGTTGGGTCTGAATTCCAAGACATGGTACTTACTAGTTATATGACTTTGATAAATTCACTAAATATTCTTGAGTCTTAATTTCTTTATCCTGAAAGTGGAGACAGTTATAATAGTAGTCACTTTCTCCCTCTAACTAGGAAGGTGTGAGGAAGTATATTTAAAATGCTTAGAACAGGGTCTGACTAAAAATATTTGCTGTTATTCCAAAATAATCCAACATACATGTTGTTACATCCTCTAATGCACACATAGAACTTTCAGATAACAGCTAATGTATAGACTACATAAACTGTAGACGAGAATTTCCAGTCTCCTTTGGTCCTCAGAGTGTACTTGCTTATGCACACTCTGGTCCTGAAGCTTCATGTGGTTCTGTGATTTGTGCCTCATGGCTTTCACACAGTTGGAAACCCCACTGCATAGTCTCCTCTGGTTGCATGAAATTGCTTCTCTGCCTGTTGAGTTTCCTAGTTGCTTCAGCTGAGTACTGTCCAGCTGAGAATTCATATTATAATCTGTTGACCCTGGTTGTGTTATCTGGCTTTTCTCTTCCGTGGATATGTCTAGTCATCCCTACTCATTGTATGGGGTGATGAGAGGGAATGCTTATTCATTTTGCTAAAGGAATCTAGTCTGTTCATTCATTCCCCATGGTGTCAAGTTACTGAAGTCTTGATTGTACATTCCTGAACATTTATCTACATGGATAATGTAGATAGGTGGCCAAACAATGACAAAAGCATCTGCCATATACTTGTCTCCTGCTTTTCACTCAAAATTTATGGCTTTACAAAATGTATGGGCCTCCTCCTTTTATGGTCCATCTGGTGACTATCCTGAGAGAAGGTGCCTTTAAATGAGACCTTTAGATACCAAATATCGTAATTCAGTGAATTAAACACCTAATGAAATTCTGAGCATCATGGCACATGGAGAAATATGAAGCTAAAATGTAGAAGGTCAAGCTTTCCTAGTCACCATGTTAAAACTCTGCCACTTTAGATAAGACTATTTTGCTCTCAGATTTTGCCCATGATACAGAATATCTAAGAAAAGGGGCAGAACTTTAAAATCATATAGTTTCTGGAATTATTTCTTTAAAATAATCCAACTGGAAGAATATTTTTTTTAAATCATAGCCATTTAATATGTCATCAGCTGATAGGAGTAATCTACTAATCTTGTCATTTGACACTAAGAATTAAGGGAATGCTGGCAGCTTTCACAGAATCATACATAGGTCTCCTATCTGCTAATGGATATTTCATGTCAGCATCACATTTAGAATTTTAGCCAATTAGAGTCCCTTTTTGTTACTTGCTCACAGAAAGTAAAAGGAACATATCAAGTATGGAGATTAATTATGGCTAATTCAGGGTTGTTTCATTTAAACTCAGTGAGTGTTTCCTCTGATAGGAAGTAATGTAGCAAGTTAAGACAACCTATACCGCACATTAGAAACTGCCAAACTAGTCAGGAGAAATCACAATTGTTTTGAGCAGGAGAAATCAATCATTTAAAACTTTTAAAGAAAAGTTTCGGGTTTTAAAAAAATGTTCTGGTTTTTAAAAAAATGTGAAATAAAGGGCATGAATAAAAATGCTAGTCTTATGACATCTAAAACCTGTTATCTTAATTTAGCTTGTATCATTTGTACCTTGCAGTTTCCAGAGTGTTCTTCATCCTATCAGAAAATTAATCACATTTTCAACACTTCATAAATTCCAAAGCAGAAAAAGTCTGTTTGTTTATCAGTTACATATGTAGACCAATGGGGCTGCTGCATAGTGCACCGTCCATGCACTATTCCCAGTGTTTCTTCTCCCAGTGTTATTTGCTTATTGTTATTTGAACTACTGCCAGAAAATAAAAGAATATTATGAAACAGGTGATATTATCATGAAGAGATAATTCTCCATGGATTGTTTGCATTTCTGAATATCTTGAGAATCAGGCCTTGCTTGCTGACGTTGCTCTGGGTTGTCTGCTTAGTAATTCGTGTAATGAACAGATTTGGAAGATGGAGACATTGTCTTGCTCTGAAGTGGAGGGCAGGTATGTTCACAGGCCAGTGTAATAAAGACAGTGTCTTCCTCCAGAGGAAAGGATAGGCATTTTGATTGACCCCTGTAGAAAGGATGGTTTCAGTAACTTTAGGGCTCTCTTGCAATACAATCCATTAGGTGTGCCGGTATCACCTGAAACTCTTTGTGTCAGTCAGTGGGAATCAGAGCTTGGGGTACTCGTGCACATGCTGACATTCTGCTTCTGCTATTGCTACTGCTATTACAAACTGTCCTTTGTCTTTGCCCAGGAGTCTTATATTCTACCAGCATCCATAAACTATAGTAGGCCAATTCATTAGTTTGTAAGCAAAGTAAAATCTTAGATCTTCACAGTTTTGGATGGATAGACTATCCAAAAACCCTAAGTTAACTCTTCTGATATTCGGTTCATACTATTATTTGATTTTTCTGGTTTGTGTTCTTTAGTTTGGAGTCTGGAGTTTGCCAGTAGCCTCCCTGAGCCTTAGTTTACTCATCTGAAAAAAAAGTTAAGATGATAATATCTACTTTCGTCTATTTGAAGGATTAAATAATATATGTGAAAGCTTTGTGTAAAGCAGCCTACTGCTTCGAGTAATTTCAATGATTCATTCTGGAGCTTACATTAAGTCTTCTATTGGAGTGTGCACAGAAGTGTGCTCGTTGACACGTTAAAAATAATTACAGTAATCTGTCATCGGGACACTTTAACACATCCCTGTGAAATTAGAAAATGGGGAGTTTTTTTGTCTTCTTATTTCAATTGGAAAATATAGATAAGTCAAAGTTAAAAGAATTTTTCATTGTTTCACCAGTTTTAGGACTCAGGTATCTTGGGAAGCAGTGAAAATTCATGAATGAAATGGAAATCCAAGGAGGTCTCTAGCCATGTAACATTTTCAAAATCTTCCTTTTCATAGATTAGATCATTTGGTCATAGCTGTAGAAGATTTTCTAAAAACAAAAACTGATATTATTGGAGACTGCTATATAGAGATTTTTGAGTTTTTTTGCACATGTTGGTACTTTATTTTTTCTATGTTTGAATAAAATTCCATTACATGGGTACACAACATTTTGCATATCTACTCATCAGTTCACCGACATTTGGGTAGTTTCCAATATTTGCTATTATGAGTGACGCTGTGATGATCATTGACGTGCAAGGTTCTGCATGGACACGTGCTTTTGTTTCTCATGGGTGTATACCTGGTGACATTGCTGGATCACATAACTCTATAGTAAACCACTTGAGGAACCACCAGGTGTTTGCCAAAGTGAAGGCGCCATTGCACATTCTGACTGGTGACATATGAAGGTTCTAACTTCTCTACATCTTTGCTGAAACTGTTATTATCCATCTTTTTGTTATACCCATTGGATGAAGTGATAGCTTATTGTGGATGTGATTTATAGCTCCCTGATGAATAATGTCAAGCATCATTTGATATCACTACTATCTCTCTCTTCCTCTCGAACTGTCTACTCAGTCCTTTGCCAATTTCTTTTTTATTGTTTTTATGTTTATTCATATGTGTATATATTGTTTGGGTCACCTCTCCCCCTTATCCTCCACCCCTCTACCCCCACTCCCACCCCCTTGCTTCCAGGAAGAACCTGTTTTTCCCTCTTGTTCTCCACTTTTGTTGAAGAGAAAGCATAGGCGATAATAAGAAAGTTAGTATCTATCTAGTTAGAGATAAAGATAGCTCTACAGAGAGATTCCTAGCATTGCTTCCATGCACTTGTGTATTGCAACCCACATTATTTCCTTTCTACCGGATCTCTTCACTACTTCCTGGTCACCTTCCCATAGGCCTCTGCCAGTTTAAGATTACTATATTTGCTTGCCTACAGTGGACACATCGGCCACATTCAAGTTTTAGGTTTCCTTCCCTTTCCCTATTTCTCCGTGTGCAGTCTCCTCTTAATGTGTGACCCATGTCCAATAATATTACTGCATTTGTTTTAGGTCTATAATCCACATATGAGGGAGAACACATGACTTTTTGGCCTTCTGTGCCTGGCTAACTTTGCTTAAGATGATATTCTCCAGTTTCATCCATTTACTTGCGAATGACAAAATTTCATTCTTCTTTGTGGCTGAATAAAATTCCATTGTGTATAAATACCACATTTTCTTAATCCATTCGTTAGCGGTGGGGCATTTTGGTTGTTTCCATAGCTTGGCTATTGTGAATAGTGCTGCAATAAACATGGGTGTGCAGGTGCTTCATAAATACTAAATTTAAAATATCAACAAAAATATTAAAAAAATTAGTGAACTGGTCTGGATGGACATATAATAATATGTAGTAATCTCGTGTCAAAAGTAGACTAAAATCCACTTAATTAATATCCCTTTCAGGTTTCTGGTGTTAGCTCTGCCATGACGTGCATATTTCCAAAGATTCAAGGACAGGAGATGGGGCAGGATGGTGGGTTTTGAGAGAAAGAAAGATTTAAGACCCTAGCTGGTGCTTTATTCCAGGGAGTAATTTCTTCTGAATGCATTGACATTGGGCTTATTTTCTATAAGTATTTCCTAACCACGGACATTCTGTTAAAAACATTTGATAGATAAGATCCCAGCTCGTAGCAGATATTATTCCTGTATTTACTCCAAGGTCCAGTTACCCTCTTGACAAAGAGATTAGATCAGTCAACCACTTTCTTTTTTCTCTTGCAGGACTTCTACAGTAATCACAGTGAATTTATTTCAAACCAGGTGTGTTAACTCTTTTCTCTCCAGGGAGAAAAATAAGAAAATCATTTTTTGACAATTTAAACATTATATTTAGAATTAATCCTGATTTCTTTAATTTAGAAATTTACTGAATATTTTATGCATACTATTTTATTTCATCATAGAAGTAACTGGCAAGACTAGGTGGGGGGTAGTAGTCAGTGTTTACAAATGCAGAAACTGAACCTCAGAAGAAGTAAACATTTCTTCCCAGCTTATGTAAGTAGAGTGTTGTAATTAAGATGTGAATCCATCTGTTAAGATTCACTTCCCATGTATCACACTGATTCTCTTCAACCCTCAGATGCTGTGACCCCAGCATGTGTTATCCACGTTTGAAAGTTAGGATGGGTTATTTAGTTTCTCCCAAAGACACTTGGAAGAAACCTTTTGCTAATTTGGAAGCAGGTGCTGAGCCTCTAAAATTTATCATAATGACTCTTGGTTGTTTGATATTGGAATGTCAGAAAGTGAGTCTAGCATTGCAGAAATACTTTAAATTCTGTGCACACACCTTACTTCACATACCCTTTTACTCACTTGAAGTAAGTAAAATGGCAGGTATCAAAATATGGAACGCTAAAGTCCTTGTGATCAAGAGGATGGAGAAAAGAATACTTAGAGAATAATAGAACTCTTCTAGTGTATTCTGACCAAGTCTAAATCCAGGCAGTAGACAGGGGTTGAATGAGATTCTCTTAGGGCCCAAGTGCCTCCCTGGGTGGGTGTTAAGGGTCTCCTTATCCTTAAGAATGTCTCTGTGCTTTTCTTTCCTTCCTTCTTGCTCTCTTCCAAGCACAAAGAAACCCCAAACTTTTTATCACTTTTGCATTATATGTTGAACACTTTGCCTGTTGTATTTTCAATAGTTCTCATATTTCTAATAGCACAGAAGTTGCAGGCTACCCTGTCCTCTCTTTCTCCACCTTTTTTTGGAGGCAGCAAAATAGTTTCAACTGCAAGAAGGATGGTAATAGGTGTGTGTGTCATTGTGTATATCTGTATGTAGGGGTTAGTAAGTGGAGGATAAATAGTAGTTTGAAAAAATTGAACAATCTGTATCTGGTTGTTAAAATACTCAAACATGTAATTTGAGTGTTCTCATAAGCAAGTACTTATTTTATCAGTGGGTTGGAAGTGGTCCTACTTAGTGTACAAGAAATTTATTATCTTGACTTTCTATAAATCACATAAACTGAACCATTTATAAAAGAGAAATAATGTGTTTATAAACACTGCATGTATGCATTTAAATAGTTCCTTTGTGATACGTTTCACACATTGTATGTGACAGTGACAATAATTACATACATTAAGTACTTAAAATTCATGTTGTTCCTTATTATACTGTAGTCTATTGAACAGTACCTAATAAAAAACAGAGTTAGTAGGATTTCAGAAACATGATGTCCTGAAACCAAGAATTATGTTGTATTATGCTACTTGTTAATATATTCCTGGGGGTTCAACATTAATTCCCCACAATTTATGTATAAGATGAATCAAGATTTGGATATAATAGGTGAGACTATTAAGATTGTTTCTTAGTGTTCTGAAAAAATGTCCACAGAAAAGTAACAGGAATTTCATGTGAGGTGGGTGTGCTCATGGCTGAGCTGGTAAGAGCCATGAGCCAGGGCTACTGCCTGTCTTTCTTAGATACCTTGGTCTGTGTCTTTGGGGAAATTATTTAACTTATTGGAGACTGAGTGTTCTTAACTGTGAAATGTGTCCTCTTCTCTAAAGTGCCTATTTCATTGGGTCACAGGTAGCAATACAGGAGACCATGCTGAGAATACTGACCCTTGGCTCTTCTGATGAGCCACTCTTTAACCCTTCCAGTCTCAAAGGCAACTCCTTGGTAAGGCCTTCTCCTCTGTGCCCCACATCTCCCCCACCTCCCTCATTTTGTTCTCCATCAATCACATTGTTCTTTCTTTCATAGCACTTCTCAGTTTGCGAAATTATCTTGCTAACATATTTGTTTACTGGTTTGTTTTCTGTCTGCTCCCTTAGACTGTGAGTTTCATAAGGTTAAGAAACTGCTTCCTCTGCCTCCTCTGTGCTAATATCTAAAGCAATGTCTGGAAAATGGTGAGCACTGAGTGAGTATAGAGGCAGAAAATGGGCATGGAAGAGGTACCTGGTGTAAAGCACCATGTCAGTTGGCTACATTGATTTCATATTAAAAAGTTTGGCTTCCATTTATCTAGATGCTATCTACATCTACATTGTTTATCTTTATCTACATGGTCTTCCTTAGAAGAAAAAGTAAGAAAACAGCCCCCCTGTAAGATTTGAGGCAAGCAAAATTGGTTTTTTATTCACTCTCTATCTTTTAAAAACTAGATCTATGGAAAGCATCTGTGGAGTGAGCTATGGTGAGTACACAATAAGCTGTTAAAATGGGCCACATTTGCAATTTTTGAAAGGAAATGACATAGGAATGACCTGTTGTGCCTGTGGAGGACTTAATATGGGAATTAATTACTCATGGGATTGAACAAGAGCAGATGAAGAGATAAGCTATGGCCAGAGTGAAGGCTTCATCTCTTGGATTGTAATGAGACACCTTGGATATCCAGCTGTACCCACTGTGACTTAAACCATTTAGAGGTGATCTTTCATGGATATCAGCTCTTGTTATGAAAGCTCACTTTACTGTTAATAAGTTTATTCAACTCAAGCCACAGGGGGGATATCATTTTGACATGACAGATAATCCTTAGGCATTTAACCATCTAAAAATAGAAATGCCTCAATTCTTGGATCAAAATGTGTATATGTTTAGAGAAGGATGGAAGAGAATGATCTTTTTGTTTTGTTTGGAAAGGCTGGCTGATTGAATGCCCTCCCAGGGGAGGCAATAGTGCCTGGTGTTAATGTCATCAACTCTGTGATCACAGTAACAGGGTTCAGTCACGGCCAGTCAATTAATTCTATGATCAGAACTCTATAAGCCTGAATTTCCTCAGCCATAAGGTGGAGGTAATAAGGACAAGGTTGTTTGAAGATTGAGTAGCATAGACACATGGAGAGGACTGTCCTCCACATGGTAACTGTTAATATTGGTGAGTATAATTCACCTCTTCACCTGGACATTGTTATGATTGGAACATATCCCCAAACTTAATGTGTTGGAAAATGAATGCACAATGCAATGGTGTTGAGAGCTAGAATCTTTTATCTGTGATTAGGTCACGAGGGCTCTTTCCTTATGAATGCTGTCACCATGGGAGTACATTCTTGATAAAGCTTTGCCCTCTCCCCCATCTTCTGCCATGAGATGAGGTAATACAAAGGCCCACACCAGGAATAGACTTTTTAATCATAGCATCCCAGCCTTCAGAACTATAAGGAATAAATTTCTGCTCTTTATAAATTACCTAGTCTCAGGTATTCTGTTACAGTAGCACAAAATGAATTAAGACAGTCACCCAAAAAAGGGAAATAAAGATCTGCTATCTTGCTTCTGTGGCCCTATTGCTTTTGTGGCTTTTTGAAGTGAAATGTTTCCACTATTCTCTCAGAGCTCTGGAGGAGTAAAAATTATAATAAGACTTTGATAGGCTGATGAATAAATCAAGTGACAGGAGAGACAGTTCAGAATCATGGGAAGAAGAATCAGGGACTGCAGAAGGTGCACTGTGAGGCATGGTGTCTGAGGCAATTGTTAAACATTGCTAGTTTTCTGTACTTCTTCAGAGGAAAATTAGTGCTTTTTGAAATGTATTCCTTTTTCAGAGACCTGCACTAAAATATCTTATCTTTGGGGTGCGTTAATGTGAACAAAATATGAGAAAACCAATTCTTATCTCTTGGTTCTTTAAGGCTTCTGTTTTTATTAGAGACAGAGAGACCTTATTTTTTTGTCCAAAATATTAAATTAGCAGTATCAGCTTTATGTGAATAATTTGAAATGGCTCAGGTTGGTTAACCACTATAAAACCCAGAAGAAAATGATATATAAATATGCCCTCCACCTGCACAAATGTATACAAATATATGTACAGATATAGTGAAGGGCATGTTGCATTCTTTTTAAAAGAACTTGAAATAAGACAGAAAACATGGCTCGATTTTAATACTTGTGTTGATTGATAAAGCCCTTTAATATTTACCTAGGTAACCCTGTTGCATAGAGATTTAGGCTTTCTTTCGGGGTTAGGTAACCCTGTTGCATAGAGATTTAGACTTTCTTTTGGGGTGTTGCTTATTTTTTGGCTTGAATTACAAAACCTGATGGTTTATTTGTATCAGCCAATTCTGTAAATTGTCATAATGCCCTTTCTGGGCAGTGTGAAGAATAAGGCCAAAAAAGAAGGTTCTTGTATGTAAAAAAAATGAAAATAAAAATGATTAGGATTTAAGGAAAATATAGGACTTACAACTATTAGGAGACATAAGCTATCTAGTTTAATTTAAATGCTCCTTAAGTAAGTATTTATTAATATCTAGCTATGCATTGGGTTCCTCCTAGAGAGGAGAGATCTAAGGATAAGGTTGGGGACAGAGAGGAGTAAAGGAAACCAGGAAACATAGAAATATTATAATATTTTATTATAAAATCTTTTTTTATCAGTATGGAGTTTGAACTCAAGGCTTCACACTTGCTAGGCAGGCTCTGTACTACTTGAGCCACCCTGCTAACCCTAGAATATTCTTGAGTGATTCTCCTTATCGTAGTCTTTGTAAGTGGACACAGTAACCGGGACAGTCAAGTTTATCCAAGGGCTGGCTATGCAATCTCTAGATAAATAAATGCATTTAGGTTCTTGTTTGCCAAGAGTTTTCACCAGCATCTACAGCTGTGAATTATGCTTTAAGGTTATGTAATATGGGTGCTGTGTGCATATTACCAAGGTCTATGTATGGATATATTTTAATCTATATTCTATCTATATCTTTTTACATACAACTCTAGTCTCTAGCATCTCATTATTTCCAAGTTCACACTTGCAGAATATGTGCCCATATTCTAG